AAAAAAAAAAAAGAAAAAAAAAACGTTGCTGTCAACTGCAACTCATAGTGACCCTACAGGACAGAGCAGAACTATCCCATAGGGTTTCCAAGGAGCAGCTTGTGGATTCAAACTGCCAACATTTTGGTTAGCAGCCAAGCTCTTCACCACTGTGCCCCCAGGGCTCCTGGCAAACACTGTTCTTATCAAAATTCTTTCTCTCCTAGTGCCTGTGAGTGAAGCCACTGTAGCAGCCACCGACAGTCCTGGCTCCTCCGCAGGCACATCTTGACATGAGTGTTGTGTGTCATTGGAAGGACACTGCTTTGCCTCATCATTTGTGCATTGATTGTTTCCTACCCTTGGGTATAGGCAAGATGGTGGAACAGAAGACAGACTAAGCTGGGACCTGGATTCCACTACAAACTAGCTGTGACCTCCTTGGCAAGTCTCTGGGCCCCTCTGAGCTTTGCTTTCATCCTACGTAAAAAGGGGGATTGGACCGAATGCCCTCTAAGATCCCTTCGAGTTTCGACAGTCATGGCATACATCACTTTTTCCCTAGAGAAAAAAAGTCTTCGTTGTATAAAGAAATATAGTGGAAAAAAATATGAGTTTTGCAGAAAACCCTTTAAGAACAAACAGATTCTGTAGGAGGAGAACACGCCTGTGTCCCTGTGACCAGAGCTGCAGGCTGATACCAAGGAGGCCAGACGGGGGTGTGCACCAAGAGGCCATGACTTGACCACCTCAGCTACAGCCCCTCCACCCCACTGGCTGGTGGCCATACAGACGCACACCCAGACAAGCTCCCACACCTTCAAACACACCATTATCTATGGAGCAAAGGCGTGCGACTCCTGTGAAATGCAGGTTTCAAAAAATGGGCTCAATCCCTGCATTTGCGACCTAAGAAGGAGGCTTTTCTGAATCGGACTAGGGTGTTCAGAGCAGCCAGATGAGCAAACACATTTGCACAGAAGCAGCTCGATTCAGATCGAGAAATGCCCTGCAAAATAGGACAGCAGGCCTCATTTTACAGATTAACACTGTCTTCAACACTTTGCAGCAAACATCTTTTCCTGAGTTAAGGTGAGGGATTAGTCCAACATATATAAGTGGTGCAGCAGTGTGAAGCCTTTGCTTTGGGAGCTTAGTAAAATCAGATAAAGGAAAACTAAAAAATAATCATTCCTGTGGTCAGCCACAAGATGACTGCATGGAGTGTGAGGGTGGCTGGATGGGCAAAGGCCCATGCAAAGAAGTGCCTTGTTATCTGACACGTTGTAACTCAGGCACTTGCAAGCCTCCAGTGTGAAGGAAACTGAGGGTTAAACTCCAAACCATAAACCTCAGTTGTTCCTTGGCCATCTGAGACATCCAAATAAGATGAGCTTGGTCAGGCTGACAAGGGGACACAGGAGACGCCCTTGACCAGGGCCCAGCTCATTGCTTTGGGCCCCAGGTTCCTTGACCTAAGTCCAGCTGAAGCCTGAAAAGCTCCCCGAACCCTGCACAGACCATGCCTTGTGTCCAGCCCTCTTCTGTTTCAAGGGAGACACCAAAAGGTCCCCAGCAAGCACAGAACACACAGGCCAGGGCTCCACAGTGTGCCCTGAGAAGACCTACTGCCCACTGAGGAAGTGAGTGGTGCAGTTGAGCAGTCTAACACCAGCTGGGGCCACAGGGATTTCTGAGCCCAATTTATAAACATCTATTTCTGTCTGGGGCGGACCGTTTCCTATGAGGGGAGCTGCAGCCAGCCCACTGACGTCTTCTGGGGTGTGGCTGGAGGATACGTGCAGTTCCAAGCTGCTAACACGGACACACAGCCTAGCCAGACCCATCCCAGAGCATCAAGGATGCTGGGGGCGAGTTCGTGCATCCTCGTCATAGCATTCAAAACTCAAGGATCAGCAGTTAGGAGAAGGGGCGTTAGAAAGAGACTGAAGGTGAGAACTAAACTTCCCTGTGAGCCTTTGCAATCACCTTTATCTCCCAGCGGAGGAGCACAGAGGGTCAGGCTGCCAAGTGGATCCTGATGGCGCTTGATTTTCCCTTCTGCTCCACTGTTTGCTGGCTGGGAGCCTTGGGACAAGTCACTGTGCCTCTCTAGCCAGTTTCCTCATCTGTAAAATGGGGATAACACCCACCACTTTGTATGGATAGTGGCTGTTGAAATGAGAAAGTGTAGGTGTCTATCAAACACTTAGGACAGCAGTGAAGGTCCTCCAGAGGTGCTATCTCTTATTGCTTGGGGCACCAAATGAGAATGATCAGTGGTCTCATTTATGCTTGTTTTCTAGCTTGGATCTGGAGCACTGCAGGCTATCATCCTCGCTCTTCTCCCTCTCCCTCCCCTTCTTCCTCTCCCACACCTGAGGACTCTCAGCAAGGCCATCCACCAACTTCCAACAAGGATCACTGTGGGTGGTCTGACCTTTGTCCAGATGTGCCCTTAGGCTCGCCTCAGAAAACTGGGCACTTTTCTGCCGCGGAACTCTCCAGAGCCTGCCAATAGGTCAACATTTCTGGAGGTTTGATAAAATGGCAGGTCACAATTCTCTTAAAGCGACACGTGGAAAAGCGCAAGCCTCCAGGGAAAAACGTCTGCTCCGAGTGAAGTTCCTCCAGCTTGATGTTCAGTTTCTCCAGGCAGAGCCCCACAAACACATCTTCTAATTTAATGAAGGGGACGCTCTCTGAAACATAATATACCTGGCTTGCAACGTCGCTAGAAAAAACATAGCCCGTGCCAGAGCAAAATGGAGGGTACTTGTCCCACGGGTACTCGTATTTACTGACAAACCACTTATTGAACTTTTTCCTAATTGGGAAATCATTCATCTTTAAGAAGCCAGTGAAAAACCTAGTTGTTCTGTTTTTCTTTAGAAGTAGTTCAGTTAGATAGTAGACGTTTACAAACATGTCGGAGTCTGTCTTCATCACAAAGGCGGCCTGAGGGCAGAAGCGGTGGACCCATTCAATGCCCATCATGGTCTTCAGAGTCAAATTGACATAGACGTCCACAAAGTCCTTCTGGATAATGTCTCCATATTGCTGGCCTTCCAGGGTGACTAGTGTCATTTCCTGCTCTTTGGCTGTGACTCCCAGGAGAAAGAAGGTTTTTATTCGTTTTCCTTTAATGACCATCTCTCTCCCCCAAGTCTGCCTGATGGCCATCCGGGCGGTCTCCTGTCTGTGCGAGGAAGTCACCAGCAGGACAAGGAAGGGAGGATTCTGCCTGCAGTCTATTTCCGGGAGCTGAAGGAAGTTCCCACTTTCTTTCTTGAAAATAAACGGCTCTTCTTTAAAAGGAGTCAGATTGCACACGCTCAAATACAAGCAAACGGCCCCCAGAATCAGAAGGAAAATATATGTACATCTCATCTTCGAGTGAGTCATCTGCAAGAAACAAAGCCAAACTATTATCCTCAAAAGCATGAGGGTATGTGTGGCTCCACTTTGGGTGGCTAAGGTGGGGGAAGAGAAGAGATCCGTGGCTCATGAACCATGGTTCTGAAACTCTGGAATCCCGTTGCATACAGAAGTTTAGTTCTAGATACAAAAAGCTGAGCATAGAGGATTTCCAGCATCTTCTCTCCAGGGTGTAAGACAAAGAGCACCAGGAATCTCACACTGGTCCTGGCTCTGCCTCTCGCCCGCCTCACCCTGTAGGAGCCTCAGATTTCTTGTCTATAAAATAAGGGACCAGATCTCTCACTAGTTCCCTCTTTGGTCCATCTGCCCTCATCCTTCTGTGATTTCCTGATGGAATCCAGGTAGAGAACCTGCAAGACTGGAAACCATGTGTTCTAAACCTAAATGTATGGACCACTTACTTTTCTTCCCCAAACTAATTAATCAGCTTCAGGTTGTCCCCAGAATGAAGCAATAGTCTATTTCTGATTTGCACAACTACTTTGGAATTGTGTCTCTGCTAGCAGCGGTTCTTAGCTGCCTTCGAGTCGGCCCCTGGCTCATAGTGACCCCATGTGTTACAGAGTAGAACTGCTCCATAGGGTTTTCTTGGCTGTAATCTTTATGGAAGCTGATCACCAGTCCTTTTCATCCTCGGAGCCCCTGGGTGGGTTCGAACTCCCGGCCTTTAGGTTAGCGCCACTGGGGCTCCTCTCTACTAGCAGTAGTTATTTATTTTTTCAGGTAACTGTTGAAAACCTCCTATGTGATTCTTTCATCTTTGCCTACCCATCTCTACTGTTTTGGGCAATTCAGCTTCATCGATGTTACCGTTATAAGAAAGCAAATAACTCACTTTGTGCTCAGTTAGATGAACCGCTGCTTTGAAAGCTAAGCCACAGGGTAGATGCAAAGAGGAAGTTCGTTTCAGAGAGTTCTCAGTGTAGGATGTTTGGTACCAGCAGGTACTGGGCTTGGCTTGTTTCCCAAGAATGATGCTTCTGTTTACTCAGGAATCACTAGGAGGAAAAACAAAAAGAACAGTGTCTTTCACGTCACACACTCCTCACCAATTGTTCTTACAGTTTGCTGTTCCTGAGTCTTGCTCTATGCTGGTTCACTACCTACCTACACAATACTGAGCCAGCAGGTGAGCCCCACACCCAGCCTCAGTTTTCTCCTTTGTAAAATGGGGATGATCAAAGCAAACCCAGACCTCCACATAGTCACCTGTCAGCAAGGACAGTGATATGTAACTATCTGAGAATCCTTTCAGGATTTGGGGCCAGGATAGCATCTCCTAGCTTCTGAGGAGACATGAAGAACACATAAATTAGTTACAGACCAATTTCTCATCCTGGTTATTTACCTTCTGTACATAACAGAATGTGTGGCTGGTGCCTAAAGAATTTAACAGCAAGAACAACAACAACAAAAATACAGTTGCCATCGAGTAGATTCGATTCCGACTCTTCGACCCCATGTATTTCAGAATAGAATGGATCTCCATGGGGTTTTCAATGGCTGTGATCTTGTGGAAGTAGATTGCCAGGACCTTCTTCCAAGGCACCTCTGGGTGAATTCAAACCGACAACCTTTCAGTTAGTGGTTGAGCACTTAACCATTTGCACCACCCAGAGATTCCTAAAGAATTCAACACGAGGAAGACATTCGCCAGTTCTCAACTCAGTGTTGATGTCTGAAAATCATCACCCTGGGTGAGAGGACAGAGGGGCCAGCAAGGAAAGACACGCAGAAGAGGTGAAGAAAGAGTAGGCTATTTTAAGGGCAAAAGAGTAACTCAAAATTTCATCCAAATTCTATTCCAAATATATTCACCATGGTTGTTGTTGTGTGTCGTTCAGTCAGTCTGACTCCCAGGGACCCCACATGACAGAGCAGAACTGCTCCGTAGTGTTTTCTAGGATGTAATCTTTACAGAAGCAGATCGCCTTGTTTTTCATCCCAGGGAGCCGCTGGGTGGGTTCGAACCACCAACCTTTGGGTCAGCAGTCAAGTGCTTCACCGTTTGTGCCACCACGGCTCCATATAGTCACCATAAAAGGAATTAAATAATCCCAGGGACCCTTATCCTGGAGGTCCCCTTAGCCAAGCTCGTGTTCTTCTCGGCTTCCCTTGGGGTTCCTGTCTGGCTAGAGCTCCCATAGTATGCCCGGTGACTCCGGAGAAGTCACTGCCAGAGGCAGATGGAAGGCAAGAACCCCTTGCATCCTGTGTTCCAGGGGTGGTGAGCATTCTGTCTTCCTTTGTGAGATGACTGATTTGAACAGCTGGGATTTATAGGTTATTTTGGCAGGGAAAGGGTGCCAGGAATCAAAGTGCATTCCAACCTGCCTCATCCCACGCCCATACACAAAATACATTTCGGAGAGAAACATGAACACTAAATGCAAGGGGAAGATGATATTTTCCTTCTTTCTTTCCTTTCTTGTATAGTTTTGCCCTTCCTCAGTTGTTGCTTCAATAATAAACCTTAAGTTCCCATTCTATTAATGTGTCTTTTCCCAAGACCCTTCCAAAAAAAGAGAAAAACCTGTTTATGTCGAGCCAATTCAACTCATAGCAACCCCATGTGATATAGAGTAGAACTGCTCCATAGGGTTTTCTTGGCTGTAAATCTTTATGGATACAGATTGCTAGGCCTTTCTTCCACAGTATCACTGGGTGGGTTCAAACTGCCAACATTCAGGTTAGTAGTCAAATACAAACCGTTTATATATCTACACACATACATCTTCCTGGTCTATTTCTCTAGAGAACCCTGACTAAGACAGATTCTGGCCACAGAGATTCTGATTACACAGGTCTGGAAACCAGGAATCTGCATTTTAACTAGTATCCCAGGTTCTGATCTAGCCTGGCCCCTTTGAGAAGCACCAGTGGTTAGGACTTGCATAGAGTCCACCAAATGTGGGCACCGCATCATAAATGAGTGAGGTCAAAGACCCCAGATCACTGTGCTAGCCCTAGTTTTGAAGTGGATCAGTTGTAGAGACTGAGGACATCCCTTCCCTGGAGGAGGTGAAGGAGAACGTGATGGCAGTGGGAGGATGATGTACATGTTCATCATCTGGGGCAGAGAAGGACATGACCTCCTGGGTGACGCATGGCCCAGAGCCAAAGATGAGCTATGTGTCCAGAAGTAGAGCCCACACCAGCACATTGCCTGGGAAGCAGGACTGACTCCCGTGTTGGGAGCCTAGTCCTGGGCCTTCTCAAAGGAAAGACAATTTATGAAGTGGGTTTTCCTGAGACCAATGAAGCTTAGATTCAGGACTGCCCACCTCCACTGTTTCCTTATTCTTAAAGATCATCTCCCCCAAAGTGTATGGCGTCAGATACCATGCAGCCAGATCTGGGCACCGGCTCAAGCAGAAGAGGCAGTGTCTCTTGCCTGGAGAGGTGAGCGTGGACAGGAGTGAGCAGGGGCTGAGCAAGTCTGGGTGCCCCCACCAAGGAATCAAGACGAAGCAATGTGGAGCAAGGTTGTTGGCAACTGCCCAGACCCACACTGCACCGCAGCTCTCGGCTCCTACCTGTCCAGTTCCCCGCCCACTGCAGGGGCTGAGCATCAGCATCAGAAGCAAAGGGAAAAGCATAGCTCATGGAGGGAGCCCCTGCATCTTCTGAGCAGCCTGTTGATAATGCTTCGTGAATCACTGATACTTATATGGTTGAGGTGCCAAAGGGATTCTTCCGGAAGCATATGGAAGAGGTGCTCCAGCAGGAAAAGGAGGAAAAAGCCACCTGAGGAAGATAGCAAAAGTGAGAGCCAAGAATATGCCCCATCACCAGACACTAAGCTTCTGTTAAGGGTGATGGAAAAAGTCGGGAATGGTTAATAATGGTGACAGCTAAACAACACAATGAATATAATTAATGTCACTGAAGTGCACATGTGAAGATTGTTGCAATGCCCCAAATATTCTGTTACCTATATAATTAACACAATTTTTAAAAAATGAATACACTCCATCAAAGGTTTCCCAACAGGAGAAGAGAGTTGGGGAAGGGGACTAAGGCACAGAATTACCATGTCATGCAATTAAATTTACACCTTGATGACAACTCTAAGGTATCTGAGGACCTGCGAAAACAGATGTTTTATATGAAAGCTAAGGATGTCCACACAATCTCTTAACAAAGTTCAATAGTTTAACAGAGGGTTCTACATAAGCTGGTGTGCATTTCAAATCTCCAAGAAAATTGGCACAAGGATAGAAAAATAGATCAATATAACAGAATAGAGCCCATAAAGAGATCTATACTTACGTGGTTTCTAATATATGGCATGTGCATCACAACTCCGTGGGGAAAAAGTGAACTTTTCAATAAATGATGCTGGATCAATATGATATCAACATGGGGGCAGGAGCAGGGGAGTACCTGATCCCTACCTCATATTACCCTCAAAAGTCAAATACAGAAGAACTGTATGTCTAAAGCGAAAGGTACAACAATAAAGCTTCTAGAAGAAAAGCTTTCTGATATTGGTCTATGTAATTATTTTTTAAACAGGACACAAAAAGCAAAACATAAAAGCAGAGATTGATAATGGAACTTCAAAAGATAATTTCAAGAAAGTGCAAAGGCAAGACACAGACTGGCAGAATATGTTGTCATATGTGTATCTGAGAAAGGACTATTATTCAAAATATATAAAGAACTTCTACAAATCAGTAAGAAAATTGTTAATGAGTTTGAGTGAATATTTCACAAAATAAGATACCCAAATGACCAAAAATCTAAGAAAGAGCACATCATTAGTCATTGGGGAAATACAAATAAAACCACAATAAAATATAACCACCATCTAGTAGAATAACTAAAATTAAACAGGCAATACCAAGTGTTGCCAAGGATGTGAAGCAATTGAAATTCTCTTACCTTGCCAGTGGGTGTGTAAATTGGTTCTAACACGTTGAAACTTTGTACCTACTTTGGCCAGAAACTAGTTGTCATTGAGTCAGTTCTGACTCATGGTGACCCCATGTGTGTCAGAGTGGAATTGTGCTCCATAGAGTTTTCAATGCCTGATTTTCCAGAAGCACATCACCAGACTTTTCTTCTCAGGCACCTGTAGGTAAACCTGAACCCACTACCTTTCAGTTAGCAGTTGAGCATGTTAACCATTTGCACTACCCAGGGACCTACTTTGGCAGTATCTAATCAAGTTAAACATAAATACTATAATCCAGAAATCCACTTGTCTTAGTCATCTAGTGCTTCTATAACAGAAATACCACAAGCGGATGGCTTTAACAAGGAGAAGTTTATTCTCTCACAGTCCACTAGGCTACAAGTCCAAATTCAGGGCGTCAGCTCCAGGGGAACGCTTTCTCTGTCGGCTCTGGAGGGAGGTCTGTGTCATTAACCTTCCCTTGGTCTGGGAGCTTCTCTGCGCAGGAACCTCAGGTCCAAAGCACATGCTCTGCTCCTGGCACTGCTTTCTTGGTGGTATGAGGTTTCCATGTCTCTTTGCTCACTTCTCTCTTTTATATCTCAAAAGAGATTGGCTTAAGACACTATCTAATCTCGTAGACCTCATCAATATAACTGCCACTAATCCATTTTATTACATCATAGTGATAGCATTTACAACACACAGGGAAATCACATCAGATGACAAAATGTAGACAATCATACAATACTGGGAATCATGACCTAGCCAAGTTGACAGATATTTTGGGGGGACACAATTCAATCCATGACACCACTCTTGGGCACGTACCTAACAGAAATAACTATTTATGTCTACCAAGAGACATGGTCAAGAATATTCAAAGTAGCATTGCTCATAACAGCCCAAAATTGTTGTATCAGTTTGGATTCAACCAGGAAGGAGAAACTACACAGTAATTTGAACAAATTACTTTAATATAAAAAATTTAATACAAAGAATTATTAACAGGGGTTTAGGGTGACAAGGGATTAGCAGTAAGAAGTAAAGAGAAGTGCAAAGAATATAGGAATAGCAGATACAAGGAACAGAGACTGC